GACTCACTGATAACCCCGGCTGCCTCCCCACCTCTCTGCACCTCTCGCCACCCCAAGTGCTCCCCACTGATCCATCCCCCGCTTTCATGAGCTCTGACCTCTGCACACACCTGCACACACACCTCTGTTCCACCTGGGACACACACTGATTCACCCCCGCCTGTGTGAGCGCCGACCTCACGAGCCGGCACACTGCAGCAGGCCAAGATGCCTCCCACCCCGCCCTCACCCCTTAGTTTTTCCCTCACTGGCAGGTGCTCCGCCAGGCCAGGCAGCAGACCCTGGTTCTGGGATCTCACCGGCCCGAGAGGAGCTTCCCCAGCCTGGACGTCAGGCATGAGACAGTGCCTGCCCACTGCTGAGTGCCCCCTTCTGAAGCCCGTCTCCATGCCACATGATTCCTCCCGGGTTCCAGCTCACTCCTCTCGCTGCCGCAAGCCAGAGGCCCCCTGGGTTGCAGCTCGGGAGAAGGTTCGCAAGGCCTGAGACCCAGAGGAAGCAGGTGAGCCGACTCTGAGTGTCCCCTCGGCAGGGCCGGGGCCAGGAGGGACCATCAGAAGCCCACTTGGGAGAAGGGACACATGAGCACACCTATCCCGGGCACCAGGTTCTGGGCGACTGAATAGGTCCAGGCATTTGTGGGGCCAGCCAGAAGTAGACGAGGCAGGTGGGCTGACAGTAGGTGTTGGTGGGGTCTGTGGCTAAGGAAACTTCTTTTCGACCAGACTCAACCCCTTTCAGTGAGCACAGGGAAAGGTGAGTTTAGAGCAAGTCTATTTTCTAACTCTTGTTGGAGGCTGTCATATAAGTACCATGCGCTAACTGATTGGAGACTGGGCTGGTGCAATAGCTCAGCGGTAGGGCGTTTGCCTCGCACGCGGCTGGCCCGGCCGATCCAGGTTCGATTCCTCCGCCCCTCTCGGAGAGCCTGGCAAGCTACCGAGAGTATCTCGCCCACACGGCAAAGCCTGGCAAGCTACCCGTGACATATTTGATATGCCAAACACAGTAACAATGAAGATGTTACTGGGCCTGCTCGAGCAAATCGATGAACAACGGGAGGACAGTGCTACAGTGCTACAGTGTTGGAGGCTATTGGGGCTACTCCTGGCTCTGTGCTCAGGGATCACCCCCTGGCGGTACTCAGGGGATCTTATGTGATGCTGGGAACAAACTGAAGTCAGTGGGAGGCAAGGCCAGTGCCCAATCCACTGTTCCATCCCTGCAGCCTCTGATTCTCCAAGTTTGGAAACTGGCTAACAGGTGAGTGTGGGGTGCACTGGCGGGGCGCTATGGGTGCGTGTGCCATGCCCCCCACCCCCGGTCCTTTCTAGATAACAGACCCGGGACAGCTGCGGGGACTTTGCTCCCGGGTGCATACGCCACAGCCAGGAAGCGCGCCCCCTGCTGGGCAGGTGCAAGCACCACAGTGACCCTCCCCAACCAGCTGCTGGACCCGCACAAAATGCCCTATGTGAGGACATGCGCAAACCCCACAACCAAAGGGTGCAGAGCCCTGTAGGCACCTCAGCCCTGTGTGTGGCATCCACGGAGGCCCCTCAGGCGGGCATGCGACAGCCCCTTGGACAGGCACGGGAGGGAGAGAAGCGCAGAAGCATGCACCTGGGCCTGGGTTTGAGCAGCACAGGATGCCCCCAGCCCCCTTCTGAGATGCCCCGGAACCATCGGGAAGCAGCTGCCAACCTCCGCCCAACCTTCCTGGCGGTGCCCAGTGACCCCCCCCACCCCCCAAACCCGCCTGCTCAGGATGAGGTCCGGCCTGTGGGACAAAGCCGGAACCAGGGCCGTGGGCCCAGCGGGCATTGGCGTCCTGCAACCCTTTGCCATGGTGACGGCCCCCTGGGCCTGCTCAGAGTGGCCATTGTTGGGCTGCCAGGCATGGCGGGTGCCCAGGAGTGGCTGGCACTGGGGTCTTGCCGTGTCTTTGGCCATGGCGGTGGGGTATGGTGCTTTCCCACGCTCCAGCCTCTTGGCAGTCAGGGGGACAGAGGCTGCAGAATGGACTGGGGACATCCGGAGATCGAGGACGAGGAGCTTGCGAAGAGGTGGGGCAGACAGCTGGCCAGCACTGCTGACCTGGACCTGGGGGCTGCCCACATGCTGGACCCCACGTGCTCCCCCCACTGGAGTACAGGGGCTCAGCGCCCACTCAAGGGCACCGCCCCCCCCCCCCCACAGTGTTGTGGGGTCACAAAGTCCGAGTGCCACCCCTGTAGGCCTCTGCTCCCTGACTCCCCATGTCTAGGACCACTTCTGTCCCCCTCCCAGACGCTGCCTGCCAGAGGTCTCGAGGCCTGGGTCTGTTTCTTCAGAATGAGTGACCGCCTGTGCTGCCCAGCCCACGCCCAACCTTTAGCCAAGGCTGCCCCCTGGTGGAAGTGTGGGGAACTGCCTGGATCTGAGGTCCTTTGGTGGGAAACAGGGTTAAGGGACCCCATTGGCAGAGGTGTTCCCACTTCTGGGCTACAGGTCGGGACTGAGGTGCGCACAAGTCTGGGCTTCCAGGACCCAGCCCCTGAGCCTGCTTTCCCTGCTGGATGGGGGGTGGTGGTGGTGCAGTGGCTGGGCACAGGGGCTCCAGGGAGCACGACCTGCGTGGAGAATATCACACCCGCATGACCTCCTGTGAAGTGACCATACTTGGACTTACCTGGATTATTCTGGAATTAATTCTCCTTAATGTTTTTACCTTTGCATGTGGGTAGTGCGTTAAAGCTAGTACACAGGGCTGGAGTGATAGTACAGCGGGTAGGGCGTTTGCCTTGCACAAGGCTGACCTGGGTTCGATTCTCAGCATCCCATATGGTCCCCCGAGCACCGCCAGGAGTAATTCCTGAGTGCATGAGCCAGGAGTAACCCCTGTGCATCGCCGGGTGTGACCCCAAAAAACAAAAATAAAATAAAATAAAAATAAAGCTAGTACACAGACCAGGGGGGCTGGTGGGGGCTGAAGAGTGAGGGAGCTTAAGGGGATGGTCTTGGACACAGCTGACCTGGGCTTGGTCCTCAGCATCCCAGGAGCAATCCCTGAGCAGCGCCAGGAGCAGGCCCCTCCCTGGTGCTGGCTGCCGTGAGGCGGGCTCAGGTTCTGTGGGCACCAGGAGCCCCAGGGCTGGGCGGCCCAGACTGTGCCTCATGCTCGGGAGCTGAAGCCCTGCCCTGAGACTCTCACACCAGCCCAGGTCCGGGGGTGCCACCAGCAGAGTCAGGGGTGTGATTGGACACTGCAGGGTGCTGAGAGCTGAAACCCACACCCAGACAGACCACGAGGGGGCGCTGCCGGCTCGCTACTGGCCAGCTCTCCCCATCCAGCGTGGGGGTCCCTGCTGCATTTTCCGAGGCCCCCATTTTTCCTCTCTGCTCCGCCTCTGCCAACTCCTCATTCCCGTGTCTCCGGGTCCATGACCTGCCGGCACTGCACCAGGAGCCCGCAGGCCCCACCGGTTGTGTGACAGCGGGGGACAAGCGGCCACAAGCAGCCCATAGTTGCACACCCGCTGAGCCCCACTGGCCTGTCCTGAGGCCAATCCAAGGTTCTGAGCCAGCCGGGACCCCCAACTCTGAAGGGATGTGACAAAAGGGTTTAGGGAGAGGACAGTCCTCACTGCCTAATGACATCCTGTCTGTACTGGAGCCCCCGAAGAATCTGGGCCCATCAGTGGCTCTGGGAGCAGGGCGGGCTGCAGGCTGAGGCCAGGATGTGCCCCCTGGGACCCCCAGACAACGTCCTCTGAGGGGCTGGAGAAGGGACATCTGTGCCCATCTGGGAAGACAAGGCATCAGGAGCCAGGCAGGCAGGGGACGCCCCTCCTGCTGAGTGACCCCACAGGAGGGATGTTTCCACTCGCCACTGGCCCTCCCGCGGTGCTTAGGGAACATTCTGGAACCAAAGCTTCTGCTGGGGCCTCCTTGCCCATCAAAGCCCACATTCCCTGAAGACCTGAACTGAGTCTAAGAGCTGGCGAGGGGGACGTCCTGGATCCCGCATGCCTACCATGGCCCCGAGCACCCTGAATCCCCCTCCCCCAAGGGCCCCTTAACGCCGCGGCCTCCTGAGCCTTGCCACTTCTCTCCAGGCTGTCCCTGACTGCTGCTGTCCCCCCCAGTCCACCCCCATGTCACGTCCTCAGGACCTGCCCCTGCTCTCTGACATCCCAGCCTGCTGTCAGGTACCCAACAACCTTCTCACACCCCACAGCCCCCAATCCCAAGCAAAGCCACCTCAGGACCCACCCCAGAAGGTTCTAGAATGGGGGTCCCAGGAGCATCCCTGCTGCAGCTTCAGACACCTCCTCACCCCAACCCAGGGAGAGCGGGGGTCCTGGGGAGTGGTGCGAGAGGAAGCCCCGCTCAGGAGGCAGAGGCAGGCGGGCGCCTCCCAACACCCTGACACATGTGTCTGCGGACCCTTCCTGACCATGGGCTTAGACCAAATCTGCAGGCCCCGAGCCCAGCCACCAGGTGACCTGAAACACTCCCGGGCAAACATACGCAGCCGGTCCTCTGGGAGCCTGGACCACAGAGCGGGACAGCTGAGGACAGGCCCCTCCTCTGGGCTGTGGTCTCAGCAGCAATCCTACGTAACACTGTGGGGACACGCCGGGCACAGCTGGGCCAGTGGCTTGTGTGGTCACCGGCGAGGCCTGAGGGAACCTGGGGGCTGGATGTCAGCCTGTCTGGGGCTGACCTGAGGGGCCTCCCAGGCCACAGCACCCCCAGCAGGACCCCCAGCACTGCGCGGGCCCCCACACCATGCCAGGAGTGACCCTGAGCACAGCCAGGAGTAAGCCCTGGTGTGAACACAAAACAACAAAGCCAGAGCTCTGACGGTCCCTGGGGGACCCACTGTCCCCCTCCAGGAGTGGGGCCTCGGGGACCCAGGGAGAGCGGGCGCTGGGCTGGCCGCCTGTGGTCAGAAAAGCTTTAATAAAGCCACTGTGGCGGGCGGGGTGGGGGAGGGCAAGGACCAGAGGGGCCCCGGGGACAACGGCAGCGGCCCCCACCTCCCCTGCCGCCTCAGTCTCGGAGCAGGTTCTCGGGCTTGGGGTAGCCGAAGAGAACAAAGTCGGCCTCGTACAGCTGGTAGAGCTGCCGCCGCCAGGCCAGTGGAATGGAGGCGAACCAGCCCTCCTCCCAGCTGCTGGCCGTCCGGTTGCGGTAGCTGGGCGGGAAGCGCAAGCGCTGGTCCACCTTGAGCAGCCGCAGCAGCTGCGCCGCGTCCTGGTCCAGCGTCTCCAGCTTGCCCACGAAGTCGTAGTCGATCTGGCAGGGGTGGCAGAGGCGGTGCACCTGCCGCCAGTGCTCGTTGAAGGGCCCCAGCTGCTCCGTGTGCGGGTCCAGCAGGTACTGGATAAAGTTGGCGAAGGACACGCGCAGGCCGGCGCTAAAAGCCTCGTGCGCGGAGGCGGGCGGGCGGCTGTGGTTGGAGTAGCGGCGCAGCATGGGCACCGCGAAGCGGCGGTAGAACTCCTCGTTCTCCAGCTCGAACTTGCTGCGGAAGGCGGAGATGAGGCGCACGAAGGGGTCGCGCACGAAGAGGAACTTGGTGTACGTGCGCAGCCGCAGCTTCATGAGGCGGCGCGACAGGGGCCCGTAGCGGCGCCAGAACTTGCTGAAGGTCAGGTGGACGCTGGCGTTGTGCACCAGCGCGTGCGGGATGGCCAGCGGGTCGCGGAAGGGCGCGCCGGCGTCCAGCGGGCTCCCGCTGAGCACGATCATGACGCGCTTCCAGTTGGTGCAGGCCACCTTGGGCACGTAGCAGTAGATGACGCCGTGGCGGTCGTCCACGATGAGGTGGTTCAGCTCGTAGCTGGGGATGTCGTCGAAGGAGCGCTCCTTGGAGGGGAAGGCCAGGCTGGCGTTGGCGCAGAAGTCGCGCAGCACGCTCCTGCGCCGGGCCTGCCGCTCCCCAGCCGCCGCGGCGGGCTGCTGGGCGGCGGCGTGCGGGGACCAGTCGTAACCCCGCACGCTCTCCTCAGCGTTGCTCCCCGGGGCTGCAGGCCGAGGCTCCGGCTTCCTGCTGGGCAGGTCGCCCGGCTCGGTGCCAGGGCCGAAGAGCCTCTTGAGGACAGCGTCCCGGCTGTCCGGGGGCTCCTTCCCGGGGCCCGGGCTGGGGGTGGGGAGCGGTCCCGGCGGGTGTGGCCGGGAGATGGCCACATGCAGGTAAAAGTGGGCTGTGCCCACGTTGTCCCAGTACACGATGATCAGCAGGACCATGAACACAAATCCCACGGCCAGCCACAGGCGCCAGGGCCGTGCCTTGCTCATCCTGGCCGGGCGGGGGCGGGCGCTGCGGCCCCTCAGTCCAGCTTCATGCAGAGACCTGCCAGGGGGAACCTGCGGGCAGCACAAGGGCCAGTCAGCACTGCGGGCCCAGCTCAGCTCTCCGGAGGGGCTCTCACAAACACACACATACGTGCACAAATGCACATGCAGACACATGCTCACACACGCACGCATGCTCATGCGTACGTGCTCACACACACGCTGGCTGGCAGCTGAGAGCTTCAAATGGGTCTGGGATAGGCCCAGAGGGGCAGGTGAGTCAGACAGGATGTCAGAGACCTTTCTCACAGCCTGCGGACGAGCAGACCACCAGCCCTGGGTGCCAAAACACAGATCTCGGCCGTGAAGAGCGATGCAGGGCTGAAGGGGGCCCCGTGGTGGGGTGAGGGGGCAGGCTGAGAGCAGATCAGCACTGAATGCGCGGGGCTGGAGAGACAACAGGACGCAGCGAGGCCTCAGCCCGGCACATGGCCGACCCAGGCTTCACCCCCCACTGCCCTGTCTCCCGTCTCCCGGAGAGCACAGCCCCTGGACACTCGCAGGGGACGAGATGCCGTGTAGGGCCCCTGTCCTCACCCACCGTGACACAGAGCCACGCAGGGAGGGCCCCGGGAGTCCCAGTCTGTTTCTGTTTTTTTTTTGCTTTTTGGGTCACACCCAGCGATGCACAGGGGTTACTCCTGGCTCATGCACGCAGGAATTACTCCTGGCGGTGCTCAGGGGACCATCTGGGATGCTTGGGAATCAAACCCGGGTCGGCCACGTGTAAAGCAAACGCCCTACCCGCTATGCTATCGTGTCAGTCCGGGGGTCCCAGTCTGAACTGAGAGGGGCAGAGGTCGGAGGCCATGGCAGGCTCTGCTCTCAGGGCAGGCTGAGGTCTGCGGCTCTACTCTGGCATTCGGGCCTCCTAGAGTCACCGTGAGGTGGATGCGGACACTGCTCAGGACAAGTGTGATCTTGCCCACACCCAGGACCACTCCAGGTAAAGAAGCTGCCAGAAGGGCTTTTGGGAGGTGGTGGTCTCCAGAGGCCACCCCCGGGGACGGTGCCCCAGGAATTGTCCCAGTCACTGAGAGGTCTGTGACGCCTGGCGCCAGGGTTGCCACACGCACAGTGTGGGCTCTGGGCTGCAGTAGGGGTCTGACGGCCCGGGGAAGGGTCCCCTGGGAAGGGTCCTGCACTGAGCACTATGGCCATGGCAGCAGTGACATGTCTGGCTGTCACCGGCATGAAGCTGCAGCCCTGGCCAAGGACAGACTGAGCTGCTGCGGACATAGGCAGACTTGCAGCCCACACACGCCCCCCAGCGGCAGTGCCCGCCCCACCCCATCACATTTTCATGTTAGTGGCGCACCCGCCAGTTCAGGAGCCATTTCTGGATCTGTAAAGGAACAAGGGACTCACCACTCAGGGTCTACGGACGGCACCTTGGGTTGCGGCCATGTCCGGGGCAGCAGCAGGGCAGTGCTGAGGGTCATCTGATACCCAAGTCAGAGGCCACACGTGGCAGGAGGGGGGCAGCATGACGCCTGTGGAGAGACGTGGGTGGGATGAGGCATGGGGGCCACTGAGCCTGTGACATGCATTCTGTGCAGGAGGACGGCGAGGCAACTCCTACTGCCCAAGCACCGGAGAGAAAGGTGCTGAGCTCTCGCTCCTTTTACCCCAAGAAAAGGAGGGCAGTCCAGGGACAAGACAAGGTGGAGGCATGTCCCCCACCTGGCCTGATCCCTGCCCCCTCCATATGGTACCCCAAGTGATTCCTGGGCACAGAGCCAGGAGTAAGTCTTGAGCACAAGCAGGTGTTTCCCAAATACTTTACTGTCCTCCCGTTGTTCATCAATTTGCTCGAGTGGGCCCAGTAAGGTCTCTATCATGAGATTTGTTGTTACTGTGTCTGGCATATCGAATACATCACGGGGAGCTTGCCAGGCTTTGCCGTGCAGGCGAGATACTCTCGGTAGCTTGCCGGGCTCTCCGAGAGGGGCGGAGGAATCGAACTCGGGCTGGTCATGTTGGCCGCTTGCAAGGCAAATGCCCTACCCACTGTACCCAAATACAAAGAAAAGAATTTAAAAAGTGCCGGGGAGAAGGCAAGGAGTGGGGTGGGGCAGGGTCGTGCCTGGGCTTGCCAGAATCGCCTGGCACCACAGGATGGAGAATCGGGAGTCTGAACCGTGGCGAGCCCACTGCAAGGCCAAGGGTGCTCAGGAGTGAATGCAGCCCAGGGCGCCCTGGGTGGTGGCCAATAAAATCCAGACAGACCTGAGAGCCAAGCACCCAGCAGTCAGCAGGCACGGCCTCCTTGGTGCTGTAGCTGATGGGCTGTGGTGTGGTTCTGTGGCGAGCAGTCACAGACCAAGAGGGAGAGGACAGGGACAGCAGGAGGGGGCGGGAGCAGACAGGGGACACGTGGCCCTGTGTCAGGCACTCCGCGTCCACAACGGGCATTAGGCATCGTTCCCCAAGTGAGCCCCCGCTCCCCACAGCATCCATGCCTGCCAGCATGTGGGGTGGGGGAGCAAACGTATTTGTGTGTGTGAATGCAAGCACACGAAAGCATGTGAGCACTTGTGTACGTGTGCAAGTCCGTGTGTGAAAGCGTTGTATGTGAGTGTGCAAGCACATGTGTCTCTGAGTTGAGTGTGTATGTGTGCCCTAAAGATGGGGGAGATCCCAGAACCCAGCGGCTTCTGGCAGAAATCCCTCTGGACTTACTATAATATCAGAAATCCAAAATTGCGCGGCCGCTATTGCGGCCACACGACATCACATGCTCTTCATTGTCAGAAATAGAAAACAAATTATCTAATGATACCTTCTCAGCAAGTCTGAATGTTGGGGGAAAATTCCAAATAATAATGGTAGGTCTTCTGTCAAAAAATGGAATATAATCAAAGTAGAGTGTAAAGTGGAAATCATCTGCCACATTGGCAGGGGAAGGGGTGGGGGGGTGTACTGGGGTTCTTGGTGATGGAAAATGTGCACTGGTGAAGGGATGGGTGTTTGGTCATTGTGTGACAGAGACTTAAACTTGAAAGCTTTGTAACTGTTCTCACCGTGATTCAATAAAATAAATAAATATGGGGGAGTTGTCAGGCAGGTGCTGGGTTCCCTTCCTGGGTGACACTGACTCACTTGTTTCCTTCCTGGGTGACAGTGATTCAATGTTTCCTTCCTGGGTGATACTGTTCCACTGTTTCCTTCCTGGGTGACAATGTTTCCTTCAACAGGTAACATTGTTTCCTTTCACATCTTTATAATCTTGTGACAAAATAAGCACTTTGTTTCACTTGAATGGCTTCAGCCAGGTTGAAGAGAAGGGGCCATCTGCATCTTGGGCAGCTTTCCTTGACTCCGTGGCCCTCAGGGCTGCCCAGTTGCCCAGCCGGAGAGGCCTCTTCTTCGGACCCAGTTCTGGGATCCTGCCTGCGGTCCCCATGGGGCCTGAGCAGCTCGGGTGGGCTATGGCAGCAAGGGCCCCTTCAGTCCTCAGGGCTGAAGAGGCAGCAGTTGGGAGGAAGGCACTTGCCATGCACATAGCTGAGCCCAGCTGCATCGCTGGTACTGCATAGGGTTCCCTGAACACCACCAGGTGTGAGACCAAGCATCTCCAGGTATATCCCCAAATCAAACCAAAGGGCGTCTCCAGCGAGCCTGTATTTGTTTTGTAGAAAGGTACTCAAAAATATGGACTCGGGGGCTGGAGCGATAGCACAGTGGGGAGGGTGTTTGCCTTGCCATGTGGCCAACCCGGGTTCGATTCTCAGCATCCCATATGGTCCCCTGAGCACCGCCAGGGGTGATTCCTGAGTGCAGAGCCAGGAGTAATCCCTGTGCATCGCCGGGTATGACCCAAAAAAGCCAAAAAAATAAAATAAAATAAAATAAAATAGACTAAGAACGGACACTGGCCTGATGTAAAGCACAAAGGACGGGAAAGGCTGACGATGACTGTGGGCCTGGTGGTGCCTTCAGACACAACAGCAAGGTGACCCATGAGCAAGACGAGGTCCCACAGAGACCCGTGCACGCCCCTCATGGCAGCTTTGCTCTGTATGCCACAGACACAACTACTGATACCCCCGCAGAGAACAAATGAGCATGGAGCGAGCTGGCCAGCGGGAGCCTCTTGGTGATGGCAGACACCTTCACACGTGACAACACAAGCAGAGCTGCTCACCAGCCGCGTGGCCCCCGCAGAGCCCCCTCTGAGCCACTTCCAGGCACTTGGAGACCGCAGGGAAGCAGAGCGTCCTGATAATCAGCTCTGGAGCTGAGCTGGTCTCATGCACGCCAACCTCCACGGGAAAAACTCATACACGGGACAGCTCCCATGGTCTGCACAGTGGGTAGACCTGGACGCCCCCGACTGGGTCCAGACATGTCCATGTGTCTGAGCTTCTTAGCTCTGCGACCCTTACCTGGTGGGGGTCCATGCCTGCCCACCGGCACAGGGTATCTAAGTGGACGGACCCCACCCTGGATCTGCACACAGCTCCCCTAGGAGCTCTGGAAGTCACACCCCTGCCCCCAGCTCCCGCCCCTCCCCTGCAGGCAGCCCCAGAGTTCTGAGATTCTGGACATGCATCCTCATGCCCTAGCTCTCCATCAGGGCTGTGGAAGCAAGTGCAGGACCAAGAAGTCCTGGCTCCCTCCTACGCGTGCAGTTCCGGCGGCCATGCTGCCCCTGGAGCAGTGGCCCCTGCCCCCTCTGACCCACCTGCCTCTGGTCACACACAGGCTCCAGGGGAGGGGATCTGGTTCCAGGGTGTCCCCTTGGCTGCTGAGCTGAAGCTCGGGCCATCTGCTTTTCCATCCCCCTCAGATTCCTGCCTTTCTCCTCTTGCTTCTCTGTTCTACTTCCTGAGGTTTTGTTTTCGCTTTGAGTCACACTGGGCAGTGCTCAGGGGCTCCATCTGGTCTGTGCTGAGGGCTCAGCGCGGCATGCAGGAACCGCCTCCTGCCCATCATCTCCTTCAGGCCCCTCACTGGACTCAAGGATCATCCCACTGCTACCCCAGGAGCTCTGGGCTCAGTGGGTTCTTTGTGTCTGTTGCTTCTCCCCAGCCCCAGCAGGGCTGTGCGTTCAGAGTCCCAAGCAAGTGAGGGATGGGCCCCGTCTCAGACGCTAGGCAGATGCTGGACTGTGCAGCCGCATATCGGAGCATTTCTCTGCCCCACCCTCTGGTGTCTGCTGAAAGGCATCTCTCGGCACTGTGTCCCCTGTGGCTCTCAGGAGTCGGGAGCTCATGTCAGCTCATGTCTTTGCCCCTGTGTCAGGAAGCAAGGCTGGAAGTCACCTGCTGAGGGTCTTGAGTCAGATCCTTCCTGGAGGACCAGGGCTGGTGGGGGTGCCCCTCCCCTACTCCACCCACAGCTCTGGTCCATCCCCGGAACTGCCACCACCAGCAGGGAGCACTGAGCCACGGGTACCGATGGGCCCAGCACAGCCTCCAACCTGCGACAGGGCCCAAGCAAGAATCAACTCTCGCTGACTGAGACAAACAGGGCCCTGGCCGATAACACAGCAGCAGGGAGGGGGCTGCCCCGGCACACAGCCAACCCAGGTTTGATCCCCGGCACCACACAGGGCCCCCCAAGCCCACCAGGTGTGACACCTGAGCACTGCTGGGTATGGCCCAACACACTCCACCCTCAAAAGACCAACACTGGAAGGAGAGATGAGGGTCTAAAGCTGTCCCCATGAGGGGCAGGGAAGACAGGCACGCAGACTCTGCAGGGAACCCCCCCACAACACATGGTGACAGCCGCTGTGGCCTCCACACACTCTCCCTGAGCCTGGAGTCCACACAAGAGTATTGTCTTCCTCGAACCCACACACGGCAGGTCTCACAGAGGCTCTGCCCCACCCTGCCCACCCGCCCATCACGGCCAAGGACCAGCTCTGCTTAGTGCCGGAAGAAAGCCCAGTCACGCAACCTTTCCCACAAAGTGCCACAAAACCTTGTGTGTCGGGGCTGGAGCGGTAGCACAGCAGGTAGGGCGTTTGCCTTGGCGCCACTGACCTGGGCTTGAATCCCAGCATCCTGAGCACCACCAGGCGTAATTCCTGAGTGCAGAACCAGGAGTAACCCCTGAACATCGCTGGGTGTAACCCCCCCCCAAAAAAAACCCTTGTGGGTCGATGCCCTCCAGCTGGAAGCCCCTGTCCAACCTCGACCACTGTCCTGGGTCCTACAAGCCTGGCAGTCCCCCCCACCCCAGTCCGTCCCAACCTCCATGTGCCGCCAGGGCGGACAGCTCCCCGGCCAGGACCCAGTCCAAACCGCCAGCGGACACAGCACCCCTTTGTATCTCAGAGTCTGAGTTTTCCTTGTGGTCACCCTGGGGTGCTCAGGATTTCCTCCTGGCCTCGTACACAGGGGTCACACACATAACGGCAGGGCTGGACCCCGGATGACCGCATGCAAGACAAGCCCCAAGCCCCCACCCCCCAGCAGGGAGGACCCCCCGCTTCCTCACCTCTGACCACCCACTGGCCTCCACCCGGCATGTCCAGCCCCCACCGTCACTGGCACCACCCAGTGAACTTCCCAGCCCCAGGGATGCGCCGTGCCCGCCCGCTGCCCCCGGGGCCCCGTGCCCCGCGCCCGGCCGGCTCTGCGCACCCCGCTTCTCACCCCCTCGAGAAGTTCCTGAATTCAGAAGGACCAAGACGTGACTCAGCAGCAAACGAGCAGGGGAACTCGCGCCCCTGCTGCGGCGCGCCCGGCGGGGAGCGGCCGGCCTGGAAAGTTCCGGGGTGCGCGGGCCCCCGCAGGCGCCGGGCAGGGATGCCCCGATCACCGGCAGCGCTGCGCCCGCCCGGGAACCCTGGAGCTCCCGCCCTTCCACCCCCACATTCCCCTTCCCCCGGCTCAGAGAGGGTGCGAGGCGGGCCGAGGGCACACAGCGCCGCGAGGGTCCGGGGACGCGCGCGCGCCGCTCACCTCGCGCCGCCGCCGCCGCCCCAGCGCCGCCGCTCAGCACGCCCCGCCCCGCCCCGCGCAGGCCCCGCCCCGCCCTGGGTCCCGCCCCCAATCCTCTTCTCGCGAGAAGCGCGGAGACCGAGGGGGGCGACCGTCCTCTGCGCGCCTGCGCCCTTGGCACCCGCTCCGCCCCCGCCCAGCCACGTGGCGCCGCATTTATGGCCAGAGTTAGCCCCGCCCAAGCACTGGCCACGCCCCTTCCAGGCAGCCAATCCTGTTTTGCAGTCCCGGGGCTGACTCCGCCTCCAGAGGGCGGGGCGAGAGGCCGCGGGTGCGGCCGGCGGGTGTGGCCTTGTTCCCCCCCCCCCTCCCCCCCCTCCCGCGCTGAGACCCCAGCTCTTGAGCGCGGTGGGGACCCAGCGGGGCCTTCGTGTTTGGGCCACTGCGCTCAGGGGTCACTCCTGGAGGTGTCCAGGGGACCGTAGGGGGCGCCGGGGGTGGAACCCGGTCGGCTGTGCGCAAGGCCGGAGCCCTCCCCACTGTCCCATCGCTCCTGCCCGCCCAGCTGCGGCTTTGGACTTGCTGTGACCGTGGGCTTCTCTCTCTGATCACCTCTAGGTCCATCCTGGTTGATGGTGGTGGTGCATCGTCATCCCGTGGATGGCCAGACTATGGTCTTAGTGGCCATCCTGTTGACCCTTTCCCAGGGGCTCGGCTTGGACTGGAGCCGAGGGACCAGTGGCGCCCGATGGACTAGGGGTAGTGATAGGTACCCTTGGGGACATGAGACCAGACCGCTGCGCCCTCACCTCCAGCTACGGAGTGAGCTCCAGGCCCTATTCCTCCTTTGCCCCCGGAAAGGGGTTTCTCCAGCAGAGCAAGGCCATGGGGTTCTGGGCCGCAGGGCCGGACAGGGCCACAAGCACTTTGATGCTCATGGCCCTCCCCTCCTCCTCTCCGGTCCCTTCCCCCCACTTCCTCCCTCCACTTCCTCCCCCAACTCCCCTCTCTTCTCTCCCTCCCCCTCCCTCTCTCCTCTTCCTTCCTCCCCTCAGTGCACAACACCTGCTGTCTGAAACAGATTTACTCTTGTTTCCAGGAGTTAGGCCCAGGAGCTAGGTGTGGGCAGGGCGGTGACCCCCCAGCCTCTGCCTGGCTGAACCTGGGTCCCTGGACTCTCTACTGTCTGTCCCTCTCTGCCCACATCCCCTTTCTCGGAAGCCACTCCTGGGCTCCTGCCCTATGTGAGGCCACACCTGTGTTGAGGGCCACACCCGTCCACTCTGCAGGTCTGTCTTGAGGGAGACACAAATCAGCGAAGCATTGCATGCTGTCCTTCCCCTTCCCTTCCCTGTTGCATGTCAGGGAGCTGGGATGGCACCAAACCCATAGCTTCAGGAGGGCAAGACGGGCCCATCATGAACCCTTGTTGGTGTAGTGCTCCTTCCTAGTGCTCATCTGCTAGAAGGGCTAAATCCGAATGTTAATAGAGAGGGGATGGGCGGGGCAGGCTGTGATGCAGGCAGGGGAGAAACGTTCCCAAAACAATTATTGTTTATTAATTTCTTGGAGGGCCACACCCAGCAGAGCTCAGGGATCTCCCGGAGGGGCCCAGCTGTGTTGAAGGTAAAGGACCCCCCACTGCACTATCACTGGCTGCCTTTGTTCTTTTAGCTTCTTTAAAGCTCCATGGAAGGGGCCGGTACTAGCTTTGCACACAGCCGACCCCAGTTTTAAAAACCCTAGTATCTCATATGGTTCCTTGAGCCCTGCCAGGAGGGATTCCTGAGCACAGAGCCAGGAGGCAGCGCTGAGCACCACTGGTCCCTGTAGTAGCTTTTGTGGTGCTGGTAAGTCTCCTTACACGATCTGTTGTTTTCACATCTAATTATGAGCAGCGTTCAAAGCCAAGAATAAACCCTTTAAAATAGGAACTGAAGTCATTCTACAAAGAGTTTACAGAAGCGTGGTTAAGGGCGAGTGGGCAAATAAACTTTACTGAGACAGTTTGCTAAGAACATAGACACTGCAGGTCTCTGCACGCACTCAGGGAACAGAAGACAAACAAGACATTCTTGCAGCTAATTATTTGGTCCCTGTGACGGCTCCACTGCAGGAAGGGGCGAGGCCCTAACAGTGGCCACCCTTTCAGCACCGGGCTGGCTGGACCCCAGGACCTTAGAGTGTCCTTGTAGTTGAGATAGGACGGGGTCAGGCTGGAGAGCGGGGGATCCAGTGAGAGCACACACACAAACGCACACACGGACGCACCCTCTAATACACTTCCACTCACGCACTCACACTCACCCCCACCCCCACCCATCTTCTCAAAGTCTCTCACACGCTCCCATACCCTTACAACACACTTACACACACACTGTCACACCCTCACACACTTTCATATAACCTTTGCACACCCTCACACACACAACCTCACACTCTCTCATACACACCCTCACACACACTCACACCCTCACATACACACCCTCACACATACACTCTCACATACACACCCTCAAACACACTCTCACACCCTCACATACAAACCCTCACACACACTCTCATACCCTCACATACACACCCTCACACACTCACACCCTCACACTCTCACACCCTCACATACAAACCCTCACACTCACTCTCATACCCTCACATACACACCCTCACACACTCACACCCTCACACTCTCACACCCTCACATACACACCCTCACACGCACTCACACCTTCACACACCCTCATACTCTCACACCCTCACATACACACCCTCTCATACACACCCTCACATATACACTCACATCTGCACACACTCGAACCCTCACATGCACACTCCACACTTGCACACACTCTCACACTCACACATGTCCACTCCTGGTCCGTCCCTGGGAGGCCACTGGTCCGTGAGGGCAAGGACAGAGACGCTCCCCTGGCAGCCTCAGTGGCAGCTGGAAGAGGTGAAGCAGGAGCGGCCGCAACAGGAGGCGCGGGGAGAGGAGCCCCGAGGGACCAGGGCGACTTCTCCTCATGAAGGCGAAGCGGCTTCACCTTGGTCTTCGGGGCCGCTTGGCACTGCCACCTGGGGGCCTGCGGGGGTCACTGGGAGGCAGTGGGCTGTGGCGGTGACTCCCAGTGTTCATGGACCCTGGAGGGGAGGGCGGCTCCATCAGGGATTGGCACCGGCACCAGGTCCAGCTTGTGCCCCTCTGCCACCCAGTTTCAGCAGCAATCACACTTGCTGTGGCCCTGGGGCCTGCCCCCTCACTCCGTGCACAGACCCTGATCCCAGGGCCTGCCCCCTTGTTTAGTGCGGGGACACCCTTGGCATGGGGCTCCTGGAAGGGTCTGGGTTGGGGCTCAGAGCAGATTTGTGGGCACAGGTGGCCTGGACAGCAGTTCTCTGCCTGTCCGAGCCAGGGATGCCCAGGTCATCCTCTAAGGACCTGTCTGAGGGTTGAGCACAGCTTTGCCTGTGGAGGCCCAGCCCAGCACTGCAGGGTCCCTGAGGCTGGGTCAGGCCTGGCCCGCGGACACCTCCAGGTCTCAAAGAGCCCGAAGTGGAACTGCTCTGAGATTTTTCCAAGACAGTGAAGGCCTGCATGCAGGAGGCCTGGTGAGAGCCAGATGAAGCTCTGGAGAGAGCTCTTGCCACCCACCCACCCACCTCAGCAGCCTCTGAGATCAGACGCCCGTGCCATCTGCCGGGCCCCCAGCCCAGCCCTGACGAGGAGCTGCACTGACCTCGCACGTCCCGGGGCAGGAGGGGCCCTCTGCTGGGCGCGGAGGTGCTCTGCCACACAGCGCTGGGGAAGGTGAAGCTGAGCGAATGCTCGTCTAGACAGAGAGACAGAGACAGACGTGGGGGAGGGGGGCCCCAGGAGGGTGGGTGCAAGGCAGAGGAACAGGTCACTGGGGGACCACACGGCACTGACACGGCCCTGTTCCCACAGACCCTGAGCTCTGGTACTTCTGAGATGTGAGACACACGTGACACGAGGTGCTTTGGGGCTTCCCAGCCACGGAAGGCCAGCCACAAACCCGCTGAGGTCCTGTGGGGACTAGGCAGGCCAGGAACGGTTGGGCTCCCGGGCAGAGAGACCATGTACTGGGCACTTCCTTTGTGGATGCAGACGGCAACCCCCACACTGGGCTGAAGACACAGGGGCCACCTCCCTCTGTAGCCCCCAAGCCCCTATACTATTTGTTCCCAGACAATCCCACACCCCATGCAGGTGTGACAGTTTCACCAGGCAAGGAGCTGCACCCCACCCCCTGCCTGCCAGCCGGAGGGGAGAAAGCGTGGACTCAGCCCTACCCCAGAGCCCCCCCTCCTCACTCTGCCTTCTCTGTAGCTTTGATGAAGGTGCAGGGGGCATAATTATAAACTTTGCAAAGCAGAAAATCCCCTAAGGATAAGGAACATGCTAAGTGTTTTTTAAAATGTTTTAAGTTTTAAAAAAAAAAAAGTGTGATTGCAGGATCATTCTGTTCCAGCGATCACAGCCATCAAGCTGAGCTGGGATTTCATCAAAAGCAAAGATTGGGGGCTGGAGCAATAGTACAGCGGGTAGGGCATTTGCCTTGCACGCGGCCGGCCCAGGTTTGATCTCCATCATCCCATATGGTCCCTCAAGCACCGCCAGGAGTAATTTCTGAGTGCAAAGCCAGGAGTAACCCCTGAGCATTGCTGGGTGTGACCCCAAAAGCAAAGCAAAACAAAACAAAAACCCAAAGATTTCTGGATAGCCTGAGAAAGAAGAGTCACCAAACAGTGGGGTGGACGCAACTCCCTGCCCTGGTTCTGTCAGCAGCAGGGTCATGTGGTGTGGGGGGGTGTGGTCCCCTGCCTGGACCTGGCTGCCAAAAATCCTGAAAGTGTACTCAGCCTTTGCCCACTTAGCACCCGTTCTCAAGATACAAGATACAAGCTAGAAGAGGCTCAAGCCACAAGGCTGGAGCACTTGTGGATTCGATCCTTGGCATCACAAGTCCCCCAAAACCTCCAGAAATAACTCCAAAACCAAAAAAGTCCTCAAAATCAATGAACAAGAATAAAAAGGTGTTTGGAGAGTGGTCAGGAGCCGGAAATCAGAACCTCCCACCTCACTTCCAATCTTCCTCCACACCTCTGGCCTCTCCCAGCTGTGTGACCGTAGCCAGTCCCTTCACCAGAGCCATGTCCCTGGCGGGCACTGGGGATTGTTATCACTCCTTCCCTCTCAAGCCCCGCTAAGGACATACAGCTGCCCGCAGTGAGGGCTGACAGCTGGCAAGCCCCTGCAGCCTCACTGAGAGACAAGCCCTGTGGAGCCCAGCTCAGGGGACTAACTTTTTCTCAGCTCTGGGTCCCCACCTTTGGACATCTCACATCAGGCTGGAAACTGTGTGGGGGGGGGCGGGGAGGGGGGGGCTTGGACAACTGCCAGTCTACCTACAACAGAAAAGAACTCGCCAGGAAACAGCCGGGAGGTCAGGAAGGGACTGACGCCACTGCCAGTGTCCTGGGTGCGGGACCAGCTGGTTCAGTGAGGACAGTGCCCCAATGCCAGGTGTGTCATACTCTTCTGACTTTATCTGCACTCCGAGTTTTCCCTGTGAGCATAGGTGGTCTCTGCCACACCAGGGCCCATGCGTGCCAAGGCCTCAGGCTACGTCTAATTGCGTGTGTGGGTTTCCGAATGCTTGGGGAGCTGCAGACCAAGCAGCTCCGCAGCTGGCGCCAGGCACCTGTGGGGTGTGGCTGTCCGATGGGGCGTGGCTTCCGTACTGGGGCGGGGCTTCTTTGGAGGGCGGGGCTTTCATACTGGGGCAGGGTTTTCTGGTTGGGTGGGGCTTTCCGTGAAGGTGGGGCTTCCATACTGGGTAGGCTTCCTGGTTGGGCGTGGCTTCCATACAGGGACAGGCTTTTCCTATATGGACGTGACTTCCATACTGGGGCGGGGCTTTCCGGGAGGGCGGGGCTTCCAGACTGGGGCTGGGTTTTCTGGTTGGGCATGGCTTCCTTGGTGGGCGTGGCTTTCATGTGGGCGGAGCTTTCTTAGAGGGCGTGGCTTCTCGTATGGGCAGAGCTTTATGTGGGCGGGGCTTCCCGACCGCCTACAAGTCACCCTCGCAGCCACCCTCCAGCCGCCTTTCCAGGACGCTCGCTCAAGCCAGAGCCAGCAGACAAGTTTCGCCTTACCGTTCCTTCCTACCTGAGTGGGAGCTGAGGCTGGGTTTTATCTTGGCGGCAGTAGGCACTGCGGGGAAGAAGCTCTTTCCTGGCGACTTGGACAGCTGGAGGGGCACGGAGGGCTGGCTCTCAGTAGGGGGCTCATGGACCTGCAGGTGGTAGATGGTGCCATGTGAGCAGGGGTCCTGCTATTCCTAGGCTGCTGGCTGCACAGGGCAACTCGGGGACGAGAAGCTCCCATCAGCCACACAGAACAGAAGGAAGCAGAGAGGACAAGCACCGGTCAGCAGGAGGGCATTTGCCAGCCAATGAGAGAGAACCCGGAGTCCCTTGGAGGGGAGCGGGTTGAGCTTTCCTCCCCGCCCCGGCCAGGGCTACGGCAGCCGGAGACCTCCAGGACCAGCCACCACCATGCTGAGACCACTCTCCGCACACCTGAAGGTACTGGCAGAGGGACAAAGCCATGCGGGTTCCGGGGCCGAGACCTCCAAGCCTACTCGAATTGGAGTCGAGCATCTTCCACCCAGATCCTCCAAATTCCAGTAGGCGGGGGTCACACCCACCACCTGGCCCCCTGGCGCCGTGTAATCCCATCAGCGGCCAAGACTCAGAGACTATAAAATCCAGATCCCGGAACCGCGCGGCCGCGCGACATCTTATTATCTCATTCCTACTTTGGACAAACTTGCAGGCTGTCGAATGTAGCCTGCCCACAGGGCAGAGTCTGGCAAACTCCCCGTGGCCTACCAAATATGCCAAATACCAGTAACAATGATGGGTCTCATTCTCCTAAAGAGCCCTGAATATAATCTCAGGGCTAGGATGAAAGAGACGTTACTGGGGCCTGCTCGAGGCAATCGACGATTAACAGGATGATGAAATGAAAAATGAAATGAGAGAGAAGCCGCGTCTCCAGACTCTCTGGGATGGGGCAGCGGCAGGAGGCGTCTGGCCTTCTCCTCTGTCCAGTGCTGACCCATGTCCCTAAAGCCCCTCTCAGCTACCGTGCACCCACCGTGCCCCTGGTGAGGGATGGGGACCTCTTCTTCCTGGCCTTCCTCTCCAGGGAGCGGTCCCGGCTTGGGCTGGTCTGGCGCCACCTCCGGTCTGCAGGGCTGGGGTCCCTGGAGTCGAGGGTCACGTCATCCGGCAGGTGGAGGGAGGAGCGGTCGCTGCCACCATCGCGGTCCTGGGCCTTGGCACGCCGGCTGGCAGCGATGAGCGTGATGCCCTTGGTGCCCTCAGCCATCTCCCGGAGTGTCTGGGGGCTCAGCGCCTCCCCTCCCGTGCTGTTGGTGGGGCCCAGGTCCAGGTTGGCCGGGGGGTACAGTTTGGAGACCAAGTTCTTCACGCTCAGGGGGCTAGGCTTCTGCAGGAACAGCAACGGGACAGCAGAGTCACCGTGGGGTGAGTGTCCCCGGAAGCGGACTGGAGACAGTCCAACACAAGTAATTTATTTGGGGGCGAAGCAAAGGAGGATGAGTCAAAATGCTGGCCTCTGGCCTGGACATCCACAGGGCACGGGGCAGTCACAGCCCATGGGCGACACCAACTCCCAAATTCTGACAGGGGCTTGACCCCCCCCCCCACTCTCTGACTTGGAGTGGGGCTGGCTCAGCAGCAGGACCCAGAGAATTATCCCTGGTGGTGCCCGCCTCATGACCATGATGCTCCCGTGGGTGCCCCCACCCCGAGATGCTTATATTTGCCCATCCCCCCCACTAAGGCACGGAGAGTCTGGCCAGGAGGGAGGCTCAGCGGGTTACATGGTAAAGCTGGTGGTTTCGGGGGGTCTTGGAGCAGTGAGACCCTCTTCGGGGTTCTTCCAGAGAAAGGCAGTTACCTTTCCCTTGTTTCATTGTGGGACCATACCCAGTGGTGATCAGGAATTGCTCCTGACAAGATTTGAGGGACCCTTTGGGGTGCTGGGGATTAAACCTGGGTCAGCGCATGTAAGGCAAATGGCCTCCCTGCTGTAATGTCACTCTGGCCCCTGGAAGGCAGGTTCTGTGAACTGGAATCTCTTGGATTTACCACTGTATGCTGAGGGAAGAGGCTCAGAGATGTGAAGACACTGACCTAGGCCACACAGCATGCCCAGCCTACTCTCCCTGAGCCCGAGCTCTAAGCAACAAGGATTCAAACACCCTGAGATCCTTGGCTCAGGCCGGCGGTGCCCTCTCCACTCTCTGACCTGCCTCCCCCAGAGATCGTGGGGGAGCTAGGAACCCCCAGGACGGGGGCAGTAGCCCAGCCTCTCCCATCATGGTTGGGTCCCTCAGCGAGGGCCCCCTGGTTCCCATGGGGGGTCCCTGGAAACAGGGACTGCACAGGCAAGTTCAAAGTCAGGCTGAGACCCTCCTGCATGGAGGCAGGGCATGGGGTGGTCTGCACCCTGGGAAACTAAAAGGATGAGTCCAGCTCGGTTTCTGCTCACCACTGTCATAATGCCAGGAGCGGACAGGGGAGCAGAGGCAGGGGAGGGGGGCAGGGGCAGGAGGCCAAGGGGAAGGGGATGCAGGGGCAGGGGGGGTCTTTCTGGATATGTTTCTCTGGCCTAGCGCAGCTCCGGTGGGGACCCTCAACCCACAGGGAGAGCGACCTCCCTGGAACCTCGCTTCACCATGCAGAGGGGCCCCCAGAACCTGGGCCACTCCATGGGTCCCCTAGGAGCTGCGCTGTGTGAAGAGGGACCCCCAGAACCCAGCTCCCGCACAGTACCATTCACCAACCTCGTGACTTGGGGGCGTCAGCAGGATGCGGACGGACGTCGGGGGCAGCAGGGCGTCTGCCTTCCCCAGTGACTTGGACGGGGTGCCCTTTGCTGACCTGTGGCCGTCACTGTGGGGAGCACAGTTGCCTCAGCAGAGCAGTCAGACCCTTGAGCCCAGCTCCATGGCCACGTGCGGGTCAGGTGTGGCCTTGCCTGAACTGCGCCGTGCTGGCCACTTCAGGCAGCCCCACCGCCCTCAGGCCAGGCTGGCACCTGCCAGCCCCTGGGCCCCAGCCCAAGAGGAAGGGGGAGCAGCGGTGGGGCGGCAGGGAGACAGTCTTCTCCCTGAGGACCAGCTCCGGGGGCCTCTGTCCTCTCCACTCTGACCCCAGCCCCCTGAGCATGCCCTTGATGTGGCATGAGGCAGCTCCGAGGGTCCCAGGAAGTCAGAATGGGACCTTCCGTGTGAAAGATCAGGGACCTGGGGCCCTCAGGGAGACCAGACTGTCTGACAGAGCAGGGACAGCAGAGGGATGGGCAGAGTCAGGCACCTGGTCTTGATCAAGGGACCATAGACACTTTGTTTTCACGCACACATGTGAGAACATGCATGTTCATGTATGTGCACATATGTATAAGCAAGGGGTGCACATAGTTGCACATTAAACTTATGATATGAACTACATACACACACCCTCCTACACAGGAATGCACAAAACAAGTGCACACACAAACATAAATGTTTATATGTAAATGCTCACATGTGGCTACACATACACACAAAACATGTCATGCGTGCACATAAGAATTGTGTGCACACACCAGACATGCACGCACACACACAGACTCATGTGCATGGACATGTATGTGTGAACAAACTCATGAGCTCACGTGTGGGCCTTGTGCCACTGTGAGACATGGACACAGCCCTGCCCAAACACACAGCTGTGGTCGCACTGAGCACGTTTCCCTGACCCTGACTGTGTCCCACTGGGCACAGAGTCCCTTGAGTGGCAGTTGGGGGCTTTCAGGACAGAGCTGTATGGTGGTCATGGGCATCCCGGCCAGCACTGCACCCTAAAGGGGTCACAGGTCTGCACTCTCCTTGACACATGGTGGGAAACAGGCAGAGTGGCCAGACCCTGTACCTGAGGAGCTCAGCCGGGGACATCAGGCTGGTGTCAAAGGCTCACTGAGCCGAGAACCGGCTAGCAGAGAAAAAGCAAGAAGCTGAGGGAGGGGAGGGGCTGGAGCAATAGCACAGAGGGTAGGGTGTTTGCCTTGCACACGGCCAACCCGGGTTCGATCCCCGGCATCCCATATGATTCCCCAAGCACCGCCAGTAATTCCTGAGTGCAGAGCCAGGAGTGACCCCTGAGCATCGCTGGGTGTGACCCAAAAGGCAAAAAAAAAAAAAGAAGCTGAGGAAGGGGAGATGAGCACGGGGGGGGGGGGGGGGCTCTCAGTGAGCAGGAGGGAAATCAGCCAAGATGGGCTTTGTAGCCCCCCCCCGCCCATCTGTTGGGACACTATTGGGCTGATATCCAGGAGGCAAAGCATCCCAGGGGCTGGGGCCCAAGCACGCCCACCTGCCCCTCACCTGTCTGTCTCCAGCAGAATCGGGGGCAACTCGAACTGGGCGCCCCAGGGCAGGTCCTTCCTGTTGGCCTGTGGCTCGCGGGTGGCCTCCTCAGGTGCGGGAGAGACACACAGGACAGAGCCATCCTGGGCACAGGCAGGGTTGGGTGAGGGGCCGTCCTCCCTCCAGCGTCCGCCAAGGAAGTGGCTGAAGGGGGTGGCCACCTGCTCAGCCCAGACAGAGTGAGCTGTGGGACAGGCCAGCCTCTGGGGACACATGCAGAGCTCTGAGAGCCCAGCTGGGGGCCTGTTGGGGGTCAGCATGATCCTCCCAGTGCTGAGACCCAGAAATGGATGGGCAGCACCTAGGCAGGGACGTGGGTGTCCTGTTACAGAGATGAGGGTGGGAAGCTCCAGCTGGCACTGCCCCACAGGCTTGTCACCGTGGCTGGGCTGTTCGCAGCCCCCCATAAGGGGAGGACTTGAGCACCATGACTGAAAGTGAGCCCTGAGCTACACAGCTCAGCGTGGGACCTTGTCATGACAGAGCCCACCAGGAGTCAGCCCTGAGCACTGCCCAGTGTGGCTCAGAAAAACAAGAAACAACAACAACAAGCAAACAATGCTCAGGCACTTGTCTGGCATGCAGCCACCCCCGGTTCCAGCCTGGGCAATGCATAAGTTCCCCCCCGCACCACTAGGGGTCACTGCTGAGCACAGAGCTGGGAGTAGCCCCCCAAAAATAACCAAGCAAATGCTGAAGAATTGAAACAAGACAGAGACCTCCCCGTTCCTGTCCACTGAAACCCCTGGATTAGCACTGGACATCAGTGAAGTCTGAGGTCCCTGCAAGCACCCAAAAGGAGTGTCCTGTGGCATCTGGCTGGGTCACAGAGGCCAGGTCTGGAGGTGCTAAGGCTGTACAGCCCCCAGCACAGGCTCCCCGCAAGACCCCGTAGCCCCAGCCCAGGTCAGGGGCATCCATGGACAGTGCCCACCTGGCGCTCCTGACAGGGTGCCTGCAATTCCCCCTTCTCTCGTCCTCCGCACCTGCCTGGCACAGAGGAGAGCCCTCAGCAGAAGGGGGCGCTGGGGGGCTGGGAGGGGACTCACCCGCAGGGAGCTAGACATGACGGAGTGCAGGAGCAGGAGGCGGTTCAGCGAGCCCTCGCCCAGCTCCCGTGAGTACAGGCGGAAGCGCTGCTGCAGATCCTCGGGCACCGGGATGCCAGCCTCTGTGGGGCGGGCAGCGGGCAGGCTCAGACTGCTGGCAGCCCCTTTTCAGGGTGAGGGGCAGTGGCGAGGGGCCGGGGCTTCTCTGCTTTGCTCACTGAGACAGGTTCTCTCTAATCTTTGCCTGTTGGCCTCACACTGGCTTTTGCTTTGTTTTAATTTTGTTTTGTATGTGTGTGTGTGTGTGTGTGTGTGTGCGTGTGTCTATGTGTGTGTGTGTGCATGCGTGTGAACACATATGTGTGCGTGCGTGTGTGCACCTGTTTGGGCCCTACCCAGCAATGCTTGGGGATTATTCCTGGCTCTGCACTCACGGATCAGTCCTGGTGGGGCTCAGGGAACCATTTGGGATGTTGGGAATTGATCCTGGACCAGTCACATGCAAGGCAAGTGCCCCACCCACCATATTATCTTTCTGGCCTGGTTCCCCCCCCCTTTTTTTTTTTTTTGCTTTTTGGGTCACACCTGGCAATGCACTGGGGTTACTCCAGGCTCATGCACTCAGGAATTACTCCTGGCGGTGCTCGGGGGACCATTTGGGATGCTGGGAATAGAACCTGGGTTGGCCGTGTGCAAGGCAAACGCCCTCCCCGCTGTGTGCTAGCACTCCAGCCTCACTAGTCTCCCTGTTTTCAAACAAAGTTTTTAAATGGTGGCGAGGGGGTCTGAGCTGTGGTGCACAGAGCCAGGCTTGGGCTAGTCCCTCGGGCGGCCTCACCGTGGATGAGCTGCTGCTGGTCCTGGATCAGCTGCTCGCACAGCAGCCGGTGCTGGTGGTAGCGCTGGATGACGAAGTCCTTCTGGCACAGCAGGTTCTTCCTGCGCAGGCTGTGGGCCTGCAGCTCGGTGCTGCCCACCTCCAGCTCGTGCACGCGGCAGAGCAGCTGCAGCACCTCCCGCTGCTCCGCGCTGACGCTCTGGCCCGGGAGCAGCCGCTCCAGCTGGGACGCCTTCCTCTTGGCATGGGCCAGGCGCTGCTCCAGCCCGGCCTAGGAGGGGCAGGCGGCAAGGGCGGTTGAGGCGGGGTGCTGTGCCCTGCTCAGTGCCCATGGCTGGCCCTGAGTCTGACCTGTGGCATGGCCAGGGCCGCTCTGCTAATCCTGCACCCTCCACCCTGCACAGGCAGGCCAAGTGCTGCGGAAGTGGCCCGACTCTGAGCCCACTTGGAAGCCCACTTCCCACAATGCCTCCACCAATCCCCCCCCCCCCATGCTGGACGGCACCCCTGGGTCAGAGTCAGGCCAGGTGGATACATAAAAGTGACCACAGATATAGACCAGAAGCTGAGGGCTTTCCCTGCATGTGTGAGTGTGGGTTCCATTCCAACAGCACACACACACACTCACACAGACACACTAACACATACACACACTCACATAAACACACTAACACATACACACACTCACACACAGGCACACATATACTACAGTACACTTGTACACACACACACACACACACACTCCCAGTGGGAGCACACTAATATGCTGACACACGCTCACACATGCCCCCATATTCTCTCTCCTGGTCACATTCACAATCTCAGGACATACATGCAAGCTGCCTGCGTGGGCGGCAGGAAGGCCTCCCATCCGTCTGGGGGGGGGCACACCCGGGGGTGCTCAGGAACCCGTAAGGGCTGTTGGCGGAGTGAGACCCCCACCTTGAGGGCTGCATTTTTCCGTTGCTCAGCAAGAAGTATGTTGACTTCCTCCCGGGCCAGTGCCACCTCGGGCGGCTCTGCGCCCTCCTCTCCATCCCCGTCCCCATCAGCCTCCGCCAGCTCCTCATCCTTCATGGATGCGGGGTCCCGGGGTTCCTGGTGACTCCTCTCTCGCTCCCAGCTGCAGCCAAGACAGGGGATGTCAGAGAGACCGGGGGTAGGCGACCCACAGTGGGCTGCATGCACCCCTTGTCCCAGAGGCCCGGAGGAGGCGGAGGGTGGGAAGTCTGACCCCGGGTTGCAGGGAAAGCAGAGGCCTGGAGGAAAGGAGGTTCAGTTAGCTCGCCCACTTCCTCCACGCTGGAAGGCCCAGGCCCCCTCCACCTGCCCTCCGAGAGCGGACATGCAGGCCAGGCCTGTGCGTGTGGTCAGCTGAGTCCAGCAACAGGAGCTGTGAGGACGTGCGTGTGGGCTCTCTGGACACCTGTGTCCCTTCTGCCAGCTGCTCTAAACTCCAGCTGTGAGGGGCTGGAAGCCGGCTGCCCACGGGGCCAGCTTTGCCCCGGGTGGGCAGGGCAGGGGGCGGGGTCTGGCCTGGGAGCAGCTGCTGCTCACTCAGCAATGGTCAGCAGGTGGCGGGACATGTCCACGTGCAGCTCGATGTGGCCGTTCTCCAGCTCCACCAGGCTGCGGCGCATCTCCAGCTGCTCCTTGAAGGCCCCGATGAGCTGAGCCCGGATCTTGCTCATCTGCAGGTGGCTGTCCTCTCCATCAAGGGGGGACACTGGGACTGCGGGAGGAAGGGAGCAGGGCCATTAACCATGTGGACCCCCAAGCTTGCTGCCTCCAGGAGGCTCCCAGATGCTCTCCGACTGGGCTGTTCTTTTTTCAGAGCTCCTGTTCTTTTCCTGTGCAGGAAGTTCCCTGAAGCTGCCCAGGAGCTGAGGCAGACTCTGGGCCTGCAGGCAGGTCATGCAGCATCGTCCACACTGTCCCCTCATCTTGGAAGACTCCCTAAATGCCTGCAACCTGAGATGGCACAGACAGCTCCCAGCATATCTGGGTAGGGACCATCGCCGTCATTCCAACAAAGGTTTGGGGGACCGGAGAGATAGTAGAGTTGGGGGTGGAGACTTGCCTTGCATGCGGCCAATACAGGTTTGGTCCCCTGCACCCATATGGTCACCTAAACCCGCCAGGAGTGATTCTTGAGTGCAGAGCCAAGAAGTAAAACCTGAGCACTGCTGGGTGTGGCCCAAAACAAACAACAAAAAGAACAAACAAGGTTTGGGGGAGTGTTTACACTGATGAGGCCGACCTGCCTCCCAGATGCCCGCACACCTGGTTCTGGGATATTGAGGCACCTTATTTTAGGGGGGACTACTCCTGGCCGTGCTCAGAACTTACTCCTGACTCTGTGCTCAGGAATTCCTGGTGGGGATTGGGGTACCATAGGTGGGTGCTAGGGATTAAACCCTTGTGGACTGAGTGCAAGGCCAGCGCCTCCCTGATGTACCATGTCTCTGGCCCCCGAAAGAGTTTTTTTTACAGGACTTTGTGGATATGAGAAATATCCCTGAACTGTGTGGTGTGAGTTTTGCCTCAATAAAAGTGTTTAACTGCATTAAATGTTAGCATTAGAAGGTTCTGAAAACTGCTCTATTTGCAAACTATTTGTAAATCGAAAAGTATTTCAAAATAAAAACACTAGTTTACTTAATCTGAGAGAAAGATTAAATTATGGGAGGAGGAGCTGGAGCAATAGCACAGCAGGTAGGGCGTTTGCCTTGCATGCAGCCGACCCAGGTCTGATTCCCAGCATCCCATATGGTCCCCTGAGCACCACCAGGAGTAATTCCTGAGTGCATGAACCAGGTGTAACCGCTGTGCATTGCTGAGTGTGACCCAATAAAGCAAAATAAATAAATAAATAAAGGGAGGCACTGTAGCACTGTCCTCCCTTTGTTCATCAATTTGCTTGAGCGCACAACAGTATAACGTCTCAACAAATTGGGAGATTTGTTGTTACCGTTTTTGGCATATGGAGTAGTCATGGGGATAAAGGAGGAAGAAGAAATGAAACCCCAAGACCGCCCAACCCCAAGAAGGATCCAGGGTGAGCCTGCTGAGGATGGGGCGTGGCCAAGGGTGGTGGGCAGGGCCAAGGAAAGAGCGTGGCCACCAACAATGGGAGGGGCCAAGAGCAGTGGGCGGGGCTCAGATGGGGTGAAAGTTGGGGTGGGCTGAAGATGATGGGCAGGGCCCATCGCAACGGGCGGGGCCAAAGATAGGGGGCGTGGCATAGGATGGGCGTGGCATACCACGGATGGGGCGTGGTCTAGTCCAGGACCGGTGGGGCCTGACAGGTCCTACCTGGTACATCTCTGACGCTCGGGTTGCTTTTCTCCTTTGCCTGCTTCTCAATTTTGGATTTGAGGTGCTCAATCTCCCTGCGCAGGTCAGAGATGACGTCCGTGTACTGAGCTATGTGGTAGGACACGCTCAGCAGGTTCCTCTTGACCTGCAGGTGTGGGAGCCGAGGTTCTGGTCCCCAGGAGGCCCAAAGCTCACAGCAGCAGTGGACGCCAAACCACACTGGGCCACGGAGCTGAGGGCCGAGGACGCTGTGCCACCCACAGCCCTGAGGTCCTGGGGGCTGGATTCCAGAGACAGCTGGGGGTGTGACTGGGTGTTGGGGGTTAGTGAGGACATTTTCCATTTGAGACAATGGAAAGTTCTGGAGATGGATGGTGAGGGTGGATGTGCCGTCCTCAATGTCCTGAAATGCACACTTAAATAGTTTGGATTTTAGGGGGAGAGTGGGTCACACCCAGTGATGCTCAGGGGTTACTCCTTGCTCTGTGCTCAGGAATTACTCTTGGTGGTGCTCGGGAGACCATATGGGATGCCAGGGATCTAATCTGGGACAGCTGAGTGCAAGGCAAGCGCCCTACCTGCTGTACTATCTCTGGCCCCTGATGGTTTGAATGTGCCGGGGGCAGGTGCTTGCCTTGTATAGGGTACCCTAAAACAGCACTGTAGCACTGTCCTCCCATTGTTCATCGATTTGCTCAAGTGGGTACCAGTAATGGCAAGAAGATAAAAAGAAAAGAAAGGAAAAGATAGGGATGGAGAGATAGTACAGGGCTTAGCACACTTGCTTCCTTATATGCAGTCAAGCCCTGTCCAATACCCTGTTCAAGCCCTGCACCCCATAGGGTCCCCTGTGCCCCGCCAGCAGTAAGCCCTGAGCACTGCTCGGTGTGTCCCTAAGACAAAGCAAACAAACAAACAATCTGGAAGAATAAAAAGAAAAGAGAAAGAAAATCTGGGGCTGAGGAAATGGCTGAGTGCAAGTTCTCCTTGCAGGAGGCCCAAGTGCTCCCACCGGGAGCACTGCTGGGTGTGGTGCTAAAACCAAACCAAGCCACAACAATCTTGAAATGCTCAGTTCTAGGTTATGGGTATTTGACACAATAACAACAGCAGGCTTTCACACCCATGTCTCTGTGTGTCTCTGTGTGTCTCTGTATGTCTCTGCATGTCTGTGTATCTCTGCGTGTCTCTGTGTGTCTCTGCTTGTCTGTGTGTCTCTGCGTGTCTCTGCGTGTCTGTGTGTCTCTGCGTGTCTGTGTGTCTCTGCGTGTCTTTGTGTATCTCTGTGTATCTCTGCATGTCTCTGTGTCTCTGCATGTCTCTGCGTGTCTCTGTGTGTCTGTGTGTCTCTGCGTGTCTGTGTGTCTCTGCATGTCTCTGCATGTTTCTGTGTGTGTCTGTATGTCTCTGAGTGTCTCTATATGTCTATGTGTCTCTGTGTGTGTCTCTGCGTGTCTGTGTCTCTGCTGTCTCTGCATGTCTCTGTATGTCTGTGTCTCTGCGTGCTTCTCTGTGTGTCTCTGCATGTCTCTGTGTGTGTCTGTGTGTCTCTGCTGTCTCTGTGTGTCTCTGTATGTCTGTGTGTCTCTGTGTGTGTCTGTGTGTCACTGCGTGTCTTCTCTAGTGTATCCCTCTGCATGTCTCTGCAGTTCTTCCTCATGGTCTCCCTCCAGCACCTGCCCACAGAGCCAGCAGCCGTGATCTCACGGAGTTGCCTCACACCCCTTCATCCTCTGAAGGGCTGTGAGGTGCTGCATCTTGCCAGGTGGGGCTTGGCCTCCTCTCACTGCTCAGGGGCCCCAGAAGCACCTCTGGTTGGACTTGGTGGTGTTGTCCAGCTTAGTGGACACTGGAGAACCCAGCTCAGCACTGGCCAGTGACCTCTCCCAAGTGAGTGCTAAGGGCCAGCATGTCCTACATATGCAAGGAGTGGCCGCGGCCTCCTTCCCACAGACATGAAGTGCCGTGATGTGGACGAGACTGTGGCTCTGTGTGGGCAGGACTGGCCGTGGGCCTGGGAGGAGCCCCTCTCTGTCAGTGGGGGTCTGGGGTGAGGGACGTCAGGAGAGAGGGAAGAAGTGACCAGATCACATGCACCACGGCCGTCAGATTCAGGCTCTAAGCCTGACACCCAGCCCTATGGGAAATGGGGGTCTCTCTGCAGAGGGCCAACAGCCCTGTTGGGGCTCACCCTGGTCTTGATGTTCTTGGCCCTGTAGGCATACAGCAGGGTGTTCCTCGACTCCTCGAAGTGCGTGCTGGCCGGGCTGATGTGGGCGATCATCACTGTTTGGCTATTCCCCCCGAGGGCATCCTGTGGGGTATGGGCACCACTGGTGACAGTGCAGGGCCCACCCCAGGCCCAGCGCCAGCCAGGGTGGGCCTCAGGGAAAGCGGAGCGCTGGAGTTTACCCAGCCTAGGCCTGGGACTATGGGGACAGCCAAGCCACGTGGACAGGACACTGATTGTGGCTTCACAGCTCTCTCTCCTCTCTGCCTGCCAGGCTACGATGGGCATGCAGGGGTTGTGGCATGGTCAGACCGGGGCCAGGTAGCTGCCCACTCCTGGAGGGATGCAGGCCCCGGCCAGCCATGCTTGGAAGGATGGCCGCTCCGGGCTGGGCAGAGGACAAGTGTCCTGGAAGGGCCCTGGCAGGAGAAGCTGCTGGCACTTGTGTCCCCGCCCCTGGCCCTGCCTGCATCCCCGTGCACCCCTCCCCGTGCCCCCGCGCCCCTGCCCTGAGCCCCCTCACCTTCAGCAGGCGCGTGAGTTTGCTGTCCCGGAAGTTGACATACTGCGCGCGGCCGCCGCCCTTCTCGCTGAGCGCGTTGATGCAGTTCCCCAGTGCCAGCAGCGAGCGGTTGATGTGGGCACCCTCCTTCATCCTCTTCCCTCGGTTCTGGGTCTGTGCCCAGAGAGCAGGGTGGAGGTGAGGGCTGCAGCCCGCAGGGGTGCCATGACACCCCCAAACCAAACCAAACCAAATCAATCCAGGCACCCAGCCTGCCAGTTGATTAGATTCAAACTCCGGGACTGGCAATGGCCATGCGGGAAGATGCGCCCCCTCTGTTAACAGATGCCTGAGCAGAGCTGGGAGTGAGCCCTGAGCACTGCAAACACCTGCACCCACATCTGACTCTGTGGCCCCACCCTGCCCGCCCGCATCCTGCAGGACCAGCTAACGGGGACAGAGTGAGGGACGCTGCCTGGACAGGCCCCTGAGCTGACCCTGCCTGCCTGAGGACCTTGGGCACCTGTGTCCTCTCCTAAGGCTTCCGGGTCTGCATGGTAACACGAGCCTCCTCTCTGGAGATGTGACCGTCCTTTTCTGTGGCCACCTCTGGATCTGGGGCTCGCCTTCCCTCCCTCCCCCAGGCCCCTGGATGACACTAGATTTCGCAGTGTTCTGGATCGAGGCCAGCCCTGTGTGTTCCTGACCCCCCACCCCGAGCACTGAGGGTGGAGCAGGGGAATGAGAGAGTAATGAAACTTCTCAAGGACCCAGGCTCAGATGAAAGCAGAGGACAACACAACTTGCGCCAGACGCCCGAGGTGGCGGCCAGCTCGCGGTGGGGAGGAGCCGTACTCCCAAGGAAGAAATTGGTGCTCCAACCAGGGCAGAACCTGCCCTCGGGAAGGCTGGGGAAGGTGCACCCCCGTCTGTCCCAACTGCTCTCCCAACACCCCTCTGCACCACCAGTGTGCCCCGGGGCTCAGCCGGGACCCTGCATCTCAGAGTGCTCCGCCCTACGCTGGCCAGTGTTGGGGGCCCGTGGCAGGGCAGGCACCTGGGACGCGCGCTCCGAGCCGGCCAGGTCCACCAGGAAGAGCCGCCCCACGCGCACTTCTTCTGCCAGGTGGGTGCCGCGGCAGCGCTGGCGCACCGTCACCTGCAGCACGGCGTGGGAACGTGAGGACGTGGTGTTGGCGGCTGTGGGCTCCTGCGTGCGCTGCCGGTTGCCCTTGGTGAGCAGCTGCATGATCTGGGGACAGGCAGAGAGCGGGAGACGCGGCCCCCAGGGAGCCCGTCAGAACCCGGGGAGGGGCGGCCCCCCGAGAGAGGGTGGCTCTGTGCCCCGGGCCCCAGGCCCCCACCGTGGGGGGCCACAGCAGGGTCTGTAGAGCCAGTGTCAGGGCTGGAGCAGGTGCCGGAGTGGACATGCCCTGGCTAGTAGGCATCACCCGGGGCCCTCAGCTCCATGGGATGGGCCCTTGTGGTCCGCTAGAAATCCTCACAGCTGACCCTCCTCCCAGGCAGCACTGGGACAAAGTGACCGAGATGCTGGAGGACTCTGGTTCGTGCCTGCAGAGAGGGACTGGAGGGTTCCTGGGCTGTTTCTGGACTCCAAGGATGGGCTGAGACCTCTGGTGGGAGTGCACTGAGTGCAAGGGTGATGGGGGGAGTACTGAGTACAGGGGTGATGGGGGTAGTGCGGAGTGCAGGGTTGATGGGGAGAGTACTGAGTGCAGGGGTGATGGGAGAGTGCTGAGGTGCAGGGGTGAGGGGAGAGTGCTGAGTGCAGGGGTGATGGGGGAGAGTGCTAAGTGCAGGGATGATGGGGAAGAATGCTGAGTGCAGGGGTGATGGGGAGAATACTGAGTGCAGGGGTGAGGGGAGAGTGCTGAGTGCAGGGGTGCTGGGGGAGAGTGCTGAGTGCAGGGGTGATGGGGAGAGTGCTGAGTGCAGGGGTGAGGGGAGAGTGCTGAGTGCAGGGGTGAGGGGAGAGTGCTGAGTGCAGGGGTGATTGGGGAGAGCGCTGAGTGCAGGGGTGATGGGGAGAGTGCTGAGTGCAGGGGTGAGGGGAGAGTGCTAAGTGCAGGGGTGATGGGGAAGAGTGCTGAGTGCAGGGGTGATGGGGAGAGTGCTGAGTGCAGGGGTGATTGGGGAGAGCGCTGAGTGCAGGGGTGATGGGGAGAGTGCTGAGTGCAGGGGTGAGGGGAGAGTGCTGAGTGCAGGGGTGATGGGGAAGAGTGCTGAGTGCAGGGGTGAGGGGAGAGTGCTGAGTGCAGGGGTGAGGGGAGAGTGCTGAGTTCAGGGGTGATTGGGGAGAGCGCTGAGTGCAGGGGTGATGGGGAGAGTGCTGAGTGCAGGGGTGAGGGGAGAGTGCTAAGTGCAGGGGTGATGGGGAAGAGTGCTGAGTGCAGGGGTGACGGGGAGAGTGCTGAGTGCAGGGGTGAGGGGAGAGTGCTGAGTACAGGGGTGATGGGGAGAGTGCTGAGTGCAGGGGTGATGGGGAGAGTGCTGAGTGCAGGGGTGATGGGGGAGAGTGCTGAGTGCAGGGGTGATGGGGGAGAGTGCTGAGTGCAGGGGTGATGGGGGGAGAGTGCTGAGTGCAGGGGTGATGGGGAGAGTGCTGAGTGTAGGGGTGATGGAGAGTGCTGAGCACAGGGATGAGGGGAGATTACTGAGTGCAGGGGTGAGGGGAGAGTGCTGAGTGCAGGGGTGATGGGGGAGAGCGCTGAGTGCAGGGGTGTTGGGGGCCCCACATACCTCCAGTTATTGGGTTCTAGGACAGCTGAGCCCGCTTGCGAGCGCTGTGGAGCATTCCCCAACCCTGTCCTCACCCACTGGATGTTTGCAGCAGACACGCCTGTGAGGCTCAGGGTCTGGAGCATGTCCCCCCCCACCCCAGCTGGGCCTCACCTCCTGGGCGTTCGAGGTGGACACCTCTGTGATGCCTGCGATCTGTATGCTGCCCCGGGCATCCTCCCTCAGCTCCAAGAACCCTGAGGACGGGTTCAGGAGGTCCCGGATCATTTCGTTATAGATCTGGGAGGAGACACAGAGGCTGGAGATAAAGAGGCGGGTGCCCGGGAGGCGGTGGGGGGGGGGGCGGCCAAGGTTCCAGGCCCCCACCTCGAGGTAGGACATGGACACGCTGTAGTCCATGTTGTCGCGGGTGTCCTCGATGGCCCTGAACAGGTCCCTGAGTGCCTGCAGGTAGATGCCCGGCTCTGCGTCCATGCCCAGCATGCTGTAGGTCTTCCCGGCACCTGCAGGGGGCGGCAATGCTGTCCACCTGGCGCCTCAGTTTCCACTGACATAGGACCACTGAGAACTGGAGCCATAGGTCAGCAGGGAAGGCGCCGCCTTGCCCACAGCCTCCCAGGCTCCATCAGCAGCGTCCCATATGGTTCCCTGAGCCTGCCAGGAGTGATCCCTGAGCAGATAGCCAGGTGTCAGCCCTGGGCACCACGGGGTGTGGCCCACAAACAAACAAACAGATAAGAAGCACTAGAGGTTTGTCCCACGAGACCCCTGGGGCTGGGGTGCAGGGGGGTGATGCCCAGTGTCTATTTTCCTCCCGATTTTCCATAAGATCAGTCTTGTGGCCAGGGGCCCAGCTCAGCAGGCTGGGTGAAGCAGGGATCGACCCTCCAACACCAGGTCCTTGAGAACAGCGGGAGTGACCCTGTACACAGCCCTGGCTGGCCCTGCAAGCACCATAGAACCCAATTCAATCCAAAAGAGGACATGGTCTTTCTAGGAGTGTTGGAGCACTTTAGAGAGAGTATTGTTCTGTCCTGCTTCATGGGTGAGTACGAGAGACCAATGGGCCGGGCAGGATCCTGCAGTCTGTTCCCCTCCAGGTCTCCCTTTCAGGTGACTTTGCTTTGGGCAGGTGAGCAATTTCCAGGAAGGGTCTGAGTCCTTGAGGTGATGGGGGCCTCATGAGAAGGGCAGGGCCTGGCACCCACTGTCCACAACATCAGGGCCTCTAGACCGAGGATGGGAGTCCAGGGGAAACTGTCCACAGCTCCGACACCCTCAGCCCCACCCTCTGGGGTGTGGGACCCCCGTGTTAGTGCGGGAGGCTGCTGCCGACCCCCGTGCTGAGCCCTACCTGACGGGCCGTATGCAAAGACGGTTGCATTGTAGCCGGAAACGACCCCTTCGACCAAGTGCTGTGTGGTGGCACGGTACACGTCTTCCTGTGGACAGACAAAAGGACAGGCAGTGGCATGACAGCCCAGCCGGAGACTGGCGAGACTCCTGGGAGTCTGTCTGTCAGGGGGGAAATGGGGCGGCCAGGCTCAGCCCTCCACTGCCCAACTCCACAGCCTCTCCAGCCGGGGCGGGTCAGCAGCCCTGCTGGGGACGGTGCTGTCAGGAGCGTGGTCTGCCGGTCTCACATCTCAGGGCTGCAGGCCGACCCCTGCCTGGTTCCCTCTGAAGCCCACCTTGGAAGGCCTCTGCACCCACAGCGGCACCCACTCCCCCACCCTGCTCCCTGCCTAGCTCCCACGTGGGGTGGCAAGGGAGCGTTGTCTGGATTTCAGGGCAGACCGGAAGTATGGCACTGAACGAGCAGGAGGTGGACGGATGGACAGACAGATGCGTGGTCAGCTGGATGGATGGATGGGTGGACAGGTAGATGAATGGTTGATTGAAAGATCAGAGGATGATGAATAGTGATGAGCAGGTGGGTAGAAGGATGAATGATAGAAGGAGGTGTAGAGGGATGGATGATGGCTGGCCGGGTGGATATAGATAGACGTGCCGATGGATGGATGGATGGATGGATACAGAGTGGGGGTGAGTGAACAGATGGACAGATGGGGGAGATGAATGGGCAAGTAGGTTCATGGGTGGATGGGCAGATGGATATATAGATAGGTGGGTGGATGGATGGATGGGCAGGTGGGCAGACGCATGAACAAATGAATGATGACCTCTAATGGAACCCAGAAATCCACCCACCAATGAAAGAACCTCCTGCCCCTGCCCCTGGCCAACCCCTGAGTCATCAGGGCACCCTGGTGAGAAGCCATGGGCACCAGCTTGCCAGCGAGTTTCATGATGGCCCACCTGGGACGCGTGCTGGTCGAACACTGCGTCAAAGATGAAGGTCTTCTCCCGGGACCGGTGTGTGCGCATCGTGTCCTCGGGGTCCTCGCCAGGGTCCATGAGCACCACCATCTGCGAGGGGTGAGGGGTGGAGGGGGCCTCATGAGAAGGGCAGGGCCTGGCACCCACTGTCCACAACATCAGGGCCTCTAGACCGACAATGGGAACCCAGGAGAAACTGTTCACAGCTCCAGCACCCACAGCTCCAGCACCCTCAGCTCTGGCACCCACAGCTCTGACACCCTCAGCTCTGGTGGGTGGATGGATGGATGGGCAGGTGGGCAGACGCATGAACAAATGAATGATGACCCTCAGCTCTGGGCACCCTCAGCTCTGGGCACCCATAGCTCTGGCACCCACAGCTCTGACACACTCAGCTGTGGGCATCCGCAGCTCTGACACCTCAGCTGTGGGCACCCACAGCTCTGACATCCATAGCTCCGGCACCCACAGCTCTGACACCCCCAGCTTCAGGCACCCTCAGCTCTGGGCACCCACAGCTCTGGGCACCCTCAGCTCCGGGCACCCTCAGCTCCGGGCACCCTCCACTCCGGGTACCCACAGCTTTGGCACCTTCAACTTCAGCACCCTCAGCTCTGAGCACCTACAGCTCTGGCACCCTTAGCTCCAGTACCCACAGCTCTGGCACTCTCAGCTCTGGGCACCCATAGCCCTGGCACCCTCAGTTCCAGGCACCCTCAGCTCCGGGCACCCACAGCTCTGGGCAACCACAGCTCTGGGCACCCACAGCTCTGGGCACCCACAGCTCTGGGAACCCTCCACTCTGGGCACCCATAGCTCCGGCACCCTCAGCTCCGGGTACCCACAGCTCTGACATCCTCAGCTTCGAACACCCACAGCTTTGGTACCCTCTGCTTCAGTACCCTTTGTTCCAGGCACCCTTTGCTCCATGCACAGCTCTGGGCACCCACAGTAACCTCTGTGGTGCTGGAAGCAGCCCCCACTGGACCAAAGAGCTCCCACATGGGAAGAGGTCTTGGGTGGGCTGGAGCGCAGAGCAGCAGAGTGCCCATGGGCGTGTGTGCGGCTCTCCCACCTCTGGCCCGGGAGCCGCACCCTCCCCCCTTCAGGAGAAGGGGCACATCCCTCCTGTGGCCTGTCTTAGAGAAGTGTCACTACGGAGCCTCCTGGATGGGGTTCACAGCGGCCCTGCAGGGAATTGGGGGGCAGGCAATTAAGGCAGCGCTGTTTACTCTGGTGGGAGCTGATGTGCTGCCAGGCACGTGGGCAGGAGTCCAGCTACCACCTCAGGCTGGCAGTGCCCTGAGCCAGACCTGGAGTCCCCACTGGGTGGACCCAAGGCCCTGTAGCTTTCCTGCCTTTGTTTCACCGCTCTGGAAACTGAGGTCCCAGGAGGGAGGGAGGGGTAGGCCGGGAGCGACCAGGGCCACGCTGGCACCTGGCCAGCTTCTCCCCGTGACATCAGCGCACTCGCTCCCCGGGGCTGCCTCCTCCCTGCCAGGCCGGCGGGCTCGGATCGCTTTCTGCTCCCTGTTCCCTTTGCAGCGACCCTGGGCACTGCTGGACATTCCCTGCCAGGACTGAACCCATACACAGAGCTGCTGCTCGGGTCCCGGCTGCATGGACCAGAAAGGGGTGAGGGGGCTTGTGCAAGAAGACTTGCACACCTGGCAGTGCTCAGGGCTCTCTCCTGGTGGGACTGGACCCTCTCTGGCGGAGGGAATGGAGCCCGGCTTGCTGCCGTCCCTGCTCCAGCCTCAGTAAAGTCTTTTTCTTATTGGTGTGGGGTCACATCTGTCAGTGCTCAGGAGTTGCTCCTGACTCTGCACTCAGGAATTACACCTGGAGTGTGTGGGGACCCTACGGGATGCCAGGGATTGAGTATAGGTCCGCTGTGTGCAAGGCAAGCGCTTTCCCGCTGTGTTGTTCTTCTGGTCTTCAGGAAAGTTCTTTACTTTGCTCTGAGGTTACTCAGGAAAAGTGGTGACACTTCAGTCCCTCTGCCAAGCAGCAAACTTCATTTATTTGTTGTGTGTGGGTGGGTGGGAGGGCACCCACCTGCTATACTGTCGCCCCAGCCCCAAGCAAGCAGTGAACTTTGAATCAACAATGATTTCCTGATTTGGGCCACTGGGCCAAGAATGTTCTTTTGTGTGGGAAATACGTTGAGTTTTAGGGGCCAGAGGGGTAGTAGGTCCCCAGGCGCCCTCAGCAACTCAAAGTAAGGGGCTTTGAGACCCCAGAGCGTGAAGGGGATGAGGACCCTGTGGAACATGAAGCTGCCTGTGGGTCTGTGAACCCTGGGGGCTGGTGCCCTGGGTGTGCTTTGGGACAGCAGGTTTGAATGGGACCAAGTTTCGCTGTTCATGGCGAAGCCTGGCTTGCTCCCCCACTCCCCCATAAAATCCCAGTGGCTTCGTCTCCAAGGGCCAGTTGCTAATTTCTTTCCCGGTGTCACTTCTCCATCTTGGCACTTCCCAGGGTGGTCTTTCCCTTATGAAGTCCCGAAATCCATCCCCCTAAAGTCACCTGCTTCCCCAAACCAGCGGGGACAGAAGAGCGAGGAGACTTGGGGGGCTGCCCAGGACCCACCACCAGTCGTAGGGGGCTCATGGGCACCTCATGTCAGGTGGGCACCTGGACTGCAGCTCTGGTGGGATCAGGATGGCAAAGCTCAGGACTGGGGTCTGAGGCCCCACACAAGCCTCCCCTTAAACACCTGCCCTCAAAGCTGTTAGCAGTGCTGCCCCCTTGGTCACCCTTTCAGGGTGCTGGGATTGGGGTCCTTGCCCTCAGCCCCTGTGGTTCCTGTCCCAGCTGGTTCTGGGGGTATTGCCACTCTGTCCTCTGCATGTCTGTGTACCCCCACCATGCCCGCCTCACCATGGGAGACCCTTATGGCCCCTCTGACATAAACTGCGTCCCTCCCTGCAAGCCAACGTCTGTCTCACGGCACCTTTGGGCTCAGAGAGGGCCCTGGAAAGTGATAACCCCCCAGCCTCAGAGCCCCCAGCTGTGGGGCCCCACGAGGCATCAGTGCCCTTTACAGCAGCCCAAAGGTGGGTGGGGGACTCCAGCCCACTTAATGGGCTCTGGCCCCTGCTGCAGTGTTGATTCTGGGCTCAGGGGCACCCACAGCCCTCTGGATGCTCACTTAGGTGGCAGATGAGGACCTGCTAGAACCCTCAAGGCCTCCGGGCTCCACCCCTGGGGGCCCCTCTCCTGCCCAGATGCCCCCTCCAGAGAGGCCGCTGGGGCCTTTGTTCTGCCTGATTGCTGCCAAGACCCCCATCCACACGGGATACTTTCCTCTGAGGTTCGACCCCTCACACCAAGGCCTGAGGTCAGGGGCCTCCTGTCTCCTTGGCAGACAGGAAATGTCCTGGGAGAGTGAGGGTGGAGGAGAGTGAGGTGGGATACGGCAGGCAGTCACACACCTGGGCCCCCGCTCACCTGGTCCCCCATTTTGTGGGCGGTGGTGGTGGCTCCTTCCTCCAGCTCTGCATCACTGAGGGGCCGGATCCGAAGCACCACCTGGGGCAGGACCAGAGGCAGCTGCTCCCGATGTCCCAGCACAGAGGAGACCCGTCTGTCCTTGCGGGCGCGGCAGGACCCACAGTGGAGGAGGCCAGGCAGCGCGGAGAGGGCTCGCAGGACGCTTACTTCTGGCTGGCTACCCCACTGTCCCCCCAGCTTCTCCGGGTGTCGCGCTCACTGGCCAGGGGCCACCCCCGGGGACCTGTCCCTTGTGCTCCGGGCAGGCCTGCACTATCCTGAGGCTGCCCCCTCAACCCCCACATCTGGGGCAGGGGCTATGGGGTGGGCAGGGGTGGGGGCGGGTGCTCACCAGGAGCTGCTGGTCTCTGGGCTCCTCCTCCCGCGTGGGCATGGCTGGGCTGGCCCGGGCCAGGGAGGGGCCACCGGGGCAGGGCATGCGGGCTGGAACGCACGGCCGCTCTCCCGGCAGCTGAGACCAGCGCCTGCGTCAGCCGTGCTCTGCCACGCCCTGGTGACATCAGGAGGGGCCCCTGGGAGCCCGGCCGGCTGTCACCCACTCAGGACGTGGCTGCCCATGTGACTGGGGAGTCACAAGCAGCTGGGGACCCTATCCCATGGGTACGAAGGCCCTGGCGGGCACAGGGGCAGGCCAGCAGGGTCCGGCCTTTGTGTGTGTTCTTGCAGCCATGACAACCGGCGCAGGCTCCCGCCTCCCACCTGGTCCAGGTGAACCTGCCTGGGGTTGAGGGGCCAGGGAGCAGGGAGGGCAGTGCGGACACCCATCCTCACTGGGGCCAGGACAGATGCCACCTGCACCCCCGTCCCCTGGGAATTGCCCTGGAGGCTCAACCGTTTCTTATGAACCTAGCCTGCAGGACACCCAGAGCAGTGGACAGTCCTACCCCCATCTGCAGACATGCAGGGCAGTGGATGCCGCCCCCCGGCTGCAGTTACCCAAGGCAGGTGGATAACCCCCACATCTGACATCTGCAGACACTCAGGGCACTGGATGCCCCCCCACCCTCCATCTGCAGACACAAAGGGAAGTGGACGCCCCCCACCTTCAGACACCTGGGGCAGTGGACAACGCCCATCTGCAGACACCCAGGGCAGTGGACGCCCCTCCCCCCACATGTAGTCACCCAGGGCAGGTGGAACACCTTCCCCACCCCCATAGGCCTAATTGCTGCCTAATCTCTAAGTCCCCTGGGGATCTTGAGCACCAGGCTAAGCAGGCACTGGTGGTGAGGGGCAGGAGGAACAGCCCCAGGTCATGGGCCAGCTCCAGTGCTTGGCAGGAGGACAGATTTGGGTTCAGCTCTGGCTTTTTTCTTTTTGGGTTACACCCGGCAATGCACAGGGGTTACTCCTGGCTCTGCACTCCGGAATTACTCCTGGTGGTGCTCAGGGGACCATATGGGACGGTGGGAATGGAACCTGGGTTGGCCGCATGCAAGCCCTACCCGCTGTACTACTGCTCCAGCCCCAAGGGAGTCCTGACTAGGGACCCTCATCTTTGCTGCCTGGGACCCCAGCAGGGCCCTCGAGAGGGCCCCAAGTCTCTGGTTGATAGAATCTGTGCCAGGGCTTGTCCACGCAGGCAGGACTGGGCCTCCGCTGTGTGCAAGGGCACAAAGGCAGCCAGCCTGAAAGGGACAGATGGAAGGACCTAAGGTCGGGACTGCCCACACATATCCCCCACCCAGGATCCCGAGGCGGCTCTGGCAAACGGCAGCAGGTGCCCAGGGTAGATGGCCAACACACCCCAGGTCGACTCCCACAGCAGGGAAAGACACGCAGTCATACAGGTTTGCTTTATTTCCACGTGCAGCCTGGGAGAACCCACCACGCCCTGAATGGGGGGTCCTGTGGGCAGCTGCCCCCGAGCAGCACCTGCTCCTTCTGGGGTTCAGGACTCGGCCCCTGGTGGGGGACAGTCCTCGGAGGGCGCCTAGGGCCGCAGAGGCGGTGCCACAGCCTTGCATGGAGGAGACGGAGCAAGTGGAGACTTGTGCCTGGACCACGGAAGCTGGCGAGCAGCGCCCGTCGGCCTCAGAGGCGACCCCAGGGGCGAAGGCACAGCAGTGTGGAGATGGCGTCAGGCGGTGTGCGGTGCTCTGGAGACGGCCTCGGACCGCACAGGCCTGAAGGTGCACCTGCAACAAGGACCACAGTCACCTCCTGCTGGCCCGGGAGGCAGCCAATGGGACCGAGATAGGGCAGGGCGGTGCCTGGAGAGCAGAGGCCCCAGCAACAGCCTTACAATCCCTTCCTCCTGTGCTGCCGGCATCCTGTCCACACCAGGTCGACCCTGGCCCCTCCTGGAGCTCGGACACACCCCAGCCGACCCTGCTTGTGGTCCTACCACGGGGCTCTCGGTCACTCCTGAATCCCAAGAGGAATAATTTCTTCTGTGACAAAAAACTCGATGGTCTCCTCCTCCCAGTCATCCACGTTGCTGTCCAGCTCGTCCGTGTCCACACCTGAGGAGAGAGGAAGGGTGCCGGGCCTGCCGCTGCCAGGAGCGCCTGTCCAGCCCGCGGCCGCCTGCAGCCCACCTACCGCCTCTCAGCTCCAGGCGCTCGCTCTTTTGCTCCAGATACAGCTCCTGCGCCATCTTCCGGTACTTGCGGAAGTCCTCCATCATGGTCCGCCGGCGCTCCACCAGTTCCTGGGGGGGAGAGGGGGAGCGGGTGACCCTGAGGCCCCTGCAACCCCAACCAGCAGGCCAGGGCGCCCGGCCGACTCCCCGGGGTCCAGGGCCACACCGACCTTGGAGGCTTTCGACTGACTCAGACGGTCCTTCTGCTCAAAGATCTTGGAGTATTTCTTCAGATCCTTTTTGATTTGCTGAAGCAAAGACGGGCACTCAGAACCCAGATATTCAGAAGCCGCGAAGGGCCCAGGCCAGGCTGGGTCCTGTGCACCCCAGCTGTCCCGGGGGCTGGGGGGAGGGGGTGTTGTCACCAGACCTTGATCTGGTCCTGACTCAGGAGCGTGGGGGGCCGAGGTCTCCAGAGCAGCTGGCAGAAGCGGTCCTTGTTATTCTTCTGCAGAAGGCGGCCTTGGAACGTCCACAGCCAGTAGGCATTGTCCACCTGAAGAGGTGGCATCACATGCTGCTCAACCTGGTGCCACTGACCCGCCACTGGCCCTGCCAGGAGCCACATGTGCCCCATGCTGAGCAGGAAGGGGGGTCCTACTGGAGGCCCTGAAGGCTGTGGGTCGGCGACAGGAAGGGCCAACAGCCGGGCACCCTCTGGACAGACCCAGGTGCTGACCAGAGGCTGGTGACACCGCCCAAGATGGGCCCCACAGGCCCGGGCCAGCACGGGTCATGAGTCCCAAGAGGATAAGGCGGAGAAGCAGGTGACCAGGACAGATTCCTCCACCCCCTGCAGGCCTGCCCGCACCTTGTGGCTCCACCAGGAGACGGAGGTGACCACGTAGCGGCCTGTGGGGTCCCACTCGACGTCGGAAGCCATGTAGTGCTCCGCGATGTTCATGACGGTACAGTCAGAGGTGTCCACGAAGGCCAGGGCGCCGTTCATGCTACAAGCGAGAGTGCATGTTGGGGCCTGCCCACAACCAGGCCAAGGGCTGAGAGGGCCCCAGGGGTGCTGGGGCAGGCAGGCTGGACCTTGGGGCCAACGCACCCCCAGAGACTCTTGGTTTGGGGCCAGAGCTGTGTGCCCGGGCCTCCTGCCCTCAGCGACCACTCCGGCCAGCTGAGCCCTTGGCCCCTACTGCTGGCAACACTTCACCTGCTAGATCTGGGGCCAGGTGTGTGGCGTGGCGCGCATGGGGGCCCATATGAGCCCCCGTACCCGTCAGAGCTCCCGCAAAGCAGACACCCACCTCCTCAAACCCGCCAACACCACAAACTGCCCCTGGGGGCTCCAGAAGATGGTGTTCGCCTGTTGCTTGTCGAACATTTCTGCAAAGAGAGAAGGGTGAGAGGAAGGAGAACACCCACCAGGCAGCCGAGCCCACGGCGGCCCTGCCCGCAGCTAGGACAGTGCTCTCCCCAGGACCCCGTAACTGGCAACCTCATGCTCATAGCTGTCCAGCCCCAGCTCAGTGGGCAGGAGGTGCAAGCCCAGGGGGAAATCAACCTATTTCCGCCAGCCCTCAGGTAGGAAAGGGACAGACTTCTGCTAGCGAGTCTTAGCACTTCTGCTAAGCCGCCCCCTGCAACCTTAGAGAAACGAGAGGGGCTGGCAGCTCTGTGTGTGTGTATGTGTGTTTTTCTTGGGGTAAAGGAACTAGCTTGGCACCGAGTCATGCACAGGGGGCCACGGTGAGGTGGTGAGGGTTCCAGCATGCGATGCTCAAGGACCCACTCCCAGATGGAGCCCGACAGTCCCCTTTCTTTATACGGGATGGGAAAAGCTGCATTCTGTGACAGCCCATGGTGTTGAGTGTAGGAAGCAGATCTCAAGAGATGCTACTGAAGCCACTACTGTCTCCAGGGTGGGAAATGCTGTGGCCTCAGGGACACAAGCACCTGAAACAACACTGCATGCTGACCCTGAGCCCCAGGGAGTTCTGGGCCAGGAGGGCTTTGCAGGTCCATGCGACCACACAGCAACTGGGAGCAAGAGGGGTCTTGCAAGGACAGCAGAGCAAGGGTGGGCCACAGGTGCCAGAGCATGGGGGAACAGCCCAGCACAAAGGACGCAGCAAGGTGGGGAGGAGCCAGGATACCAGCTGCTCACCTGCTGGGCAAAGCACACTTGCTTGGCACCAGCCATACCCCCATGGTCTGCCCCGGAGGTGGGGGCCACTTACTGATGAGCTCGATTTTGCCATTATTCTTCACGTGATAGAAGGACACAGAGATCCGTGGTGCCTCTCCGTGCAGCACTGCAAACTTGCTTCCGTTTGGCTCCCAAGCGAAAGCGATGATGGTTTCTGGGACAGGAGAACGGGTGAGCCCACAGCAGGCACACTGACCTCCCACGCCAGAATCACAGTCAGGGCACTTCCAAACCAAGGGAGGTGGCCCCCCCCCCCCCCCCCCCCCCGAACCAGGGAGACAGCCAGGCTGGCCTGAGTCTCTGCCCCGCCCCCTGCCCTTCTCTCTGTCAAGGCCAAGCTGAAAGTCGCAATGCGATTGGAGCAGGAACTAGAATCTTGAGTTTCTAAGAGTCCATGGAGCATGAACTTAAGGCGAGAGGCTCACGCCTGAGGCCAGAGTGGGGCAGGATGCAGCGGGGTCCCACCCCGCACGCCCAGTCATCCTGTCGGCACCAGGCCACGGAATTACCTACCTTTCATCTCCACCACATCCACAGGTACCTGCTTCTCCCTCATCCGGAAAATCTCAAAGTTGGTGACAACGCCCTGTGTAACAGGAAAGGAACGATGTTCTGGGAGCTGGGAGCACTGGAGAAGAGCTACGGGACACTTTGCCCGGACCCACACACAGCCACC